CCGTTAAAAAGACACACAGGAGGTAGATGTGCTGGGCACCGGAGGCCGAGCAGAAGAAGACAGAAGTGGCATTTTGAGAGGCCCAATAGTTGGAGACTAGGTCTAGGCGGGTACCAGTCCAACTAGTCTGAGTCTAGGGCCTGTACGGGCAATATCAGAGTCTGCAATGATTTTTCCCTACGAAAGGGAGGAGGTACTGGTTGCTTGGAAGGCGGAGCGGCCTGGAAGTCACCGCCCAAGAGGCAAGCAGACCACTATATCTCCAGACTGAGTGAAGAGCCCAGCCTCATTGTCGGTGTGCAAGTTTGGCGACACACTGGTTGGAGCGCTGGCTGGAGCAGCGCTGCTGGGGAAGGAGCAAGGACACGGAGGAGAAAGAAGAGCCGGAGGAAGGGGGAGCGCTAGATGTACTTACTAGTCTATAGTGGCAACCATCTTCATCACCTAGGTGGGCGCTGCAGCAAGAAGACCCCAACTGGGGTAGAGCTACACCAAAAAGCTTTGAGGCAGAGTCAGGCATGGCGGCCTGAGCTGGAGCAGCCATAGCTGCTTTGGGTTGTGCTTTGGCTTGGAGTACCGAAACCAAGAAACGGGCGGATGACACAGCAACCGCAACAAAGAAGAAGGCAGAAGATGCCGAGAAGGCAGAAGATGCCGAGAAGGCACGTCTGTTGGCAATGGAACAACAGCGCCAGCAAGACGAGCCAGCAGCAAGGGCTGCCGATGAAGAACGAATTCAACGACGCGAGAAGATATTCGGGAGAGATCGAGCCTTGCTCACAATTGCAGCAGAATGGTGGACAGAGGCCGAGAATGGAACGATGGAGGAGAGTGAAAACAAGATCGCTCTACTCCTCTCCCATCTCACGGACCTCCTAACCACGTGCATTGCACAGTAGGAGGACATCGACAACCTCAACGACATAGTTCAACAACACAAATGGGCGTTCGATAACCGCCTCCAGCAGATGGAACAAACCATCGCCGCCCCCGTTGCTAGCTCCTCCAACACCTCCGATCGCCTCGAGGCTTTGGAGATGGACGTCGGATCCCTCAAGGACGACGTGCAGTTATAGCACACCCCGACGCAACAGTTGGAGCAGCGCATCTGTGCTGCAGCCGCCAACCCAACTTCGGGACAGCGGGAGTCAACTCCAAAGTTCGATGGACAAGAGATCTTCTGCGATTTGACGAAGACGGACCCGGTTCCGTGGTTCCGCAAGTTTGAACTCACGTTGCAGCTCCATCTCGTCAAAGAATACAACCACCACGCATACTTATACTCCCGGTCGGGAGGCGCATGTCAAGCCTGGATGGACAATCTCTTGTCCAAGTACGGGGTGGTTGCTGCAGACTTGCACACCAAGATCAGCTGGGATGATCTAAAGGCGGCATGGCACAAGCGGTTCCAAGTAGAGCCGCCGGAGATCAAGGCAATGGACAAGCTAATGGGCTTCGGACAAGGCACGCTGCCGAGTACCGACTGGATTGCCAAGTACCAACGCTTGACATCCGTCCCAGACATTCAAATGGGCTTCAAAGCCATCCGCCACTATTTTATCTCAAGGTCGTGTCCGACATTGAGCAATGCCTTGACTCATGTCGAGGACACTCTGACGACAACGGCGGAACTATTTGACAAGGCCGCACACATTATTGTCACGAACAAGGAGGCTAAGAACCTGCGTCCGTCCGCGGCAGGCCCGAGCAGAGATCAGCATCGGTCGAAAGTGGCCGTGGTCGCGGCGGCAACGCTGCTTGACCAAACCAGCGAGGCCGTGTCTGCAAATGAAGGGGACAAACTCGCAGCCGCCCCGGCAAAGGCCGAGGACGGGACAAGGCGAAGACAAACACCGCATCTAGCCCCAGGCCCGGTGCAGCAGCTCCAGCCCCATGGTCCCAATATGGTCTCTCCGAGCAAGCATTCAAAGCACTCACGAGATTTCACTATTGCCTATGGTGCAACAACGATCTCCATGAGACAGTGGCCTGCCCGTCGAAAGGCAAGGGCAAATCGGGAAACTGAGCACCACGGGAGTGACTCGATGACACTCTCGACGCCTTCGGAACCGGTCACTTCGTGGGTGACCGCCCTTCGTTCCGAGGCACATGTGGAAGTCGATAGTCCTCTTCTTTATTCTTTCGAGGACTATGCTGCCCGGCTTGTTCCTACGCTGGGTAGTCAAACTCAAGGACAAGACGTGTGTGCGGCATCTTCTCCGTCCGGCAGCGACAACTTATTGTCTTCAAGTGGTTCTTCACGGGATTTGGCGCGCGAGTTCAACATAGAGGTATTGGACCCGCTCACATCCGAGGACTTTGCGTGGCTTCCTCTCCCGACCACGGGCCGATTGTCGGGACCGCAATGTGCAACACTATGCGCTCATCTCCACACGTACTTATCCTTCCATGCACCACCAACTTCGTCGACGGATGACGAAGTCGCGGTGGGGGACATCCTTGTGTATGTTATCAGGGTGGCCCGCAAGTTTTGCAATCAGCGGTACGATGACAACAACGCACCGCTCCTCTATGTCCGCATCCAAGTTGGGCAAGCGTCCTGCAGCGCTTTGCTGGATAGCGGCGCATCTCGCAATTCTATGAGCCGAGCCTTTGTGCAAAGGGCTGGCCTTGGTGCACAAGTTCGAAGGAAGGCAAACCCGACGACGATCAAGTTGGCGGACGGAAGGACGCAGCAACTTATCGACCGCTACACCGAGGCCGTACCGGTGTATTTCGCACCTCATGCATGCGAACCGGTGACGTTCGACATTTTGGACACGAACTTCGACATCATTCTGGGAATGCCTTGGCTTGCAAGTGCGGATCACACGGTCAACTTCCACCGGCGGACTCTTACCGTTCGTGACGCCTTCGGCGCCAAAGTGTTGTGTACTATTCCTCTTCCGCAACCTTCGATTAGGTGCCAAGTGGTGACGGTCAAATCATTCCGGGCGACTTGCGCTTACGAGCAGCCCAAGGAAATCGGCCTATGTTTCCTACGGACCGTCGCGGTAGCCGACTCTTCACCCACGGACTTGTCTTCGGACCCCCGGGTGATGCGGTTGCTGGACGAGTTCGCCGACATCTTCGAGTCACCTACCGGTGTGGTGCCGGATCGGTCGATCTCTCACGAGATCATTCTTGAGGCCGGTGCCGTGCCGCCGAAAGGTTGCATCTATCGGATGAGCGAGGAGGAGCTTGAGGTCCTCCGCGCACAACTTGACGTCTTGTTGGCCAAGGGCTGGATCCGCCCTAGTAGCTCCCCATATGGAGCGCTAGATCTCTTCGTACGGAAGAAGTAAAAAGATCTATGATTATGCATCGACTACCGCAAGCATTTACGTACATATCGTCAAGAATGCGGGGCCTCTTCCTCGCATTGACGATCTTCTTGAGCAATTGGGCGGCGCAAAGTATTTTTCTAAGTTGGATTTGAAGTCGGGATATAATCAAATCTCAATCCGACCGAACGATCGTTACAAATTTGCGTTCAAGACTCGGTATGGGCATTTTGAGTGGGTGTTTTTTTTTGGCCTCACCAACGCCCCGGCGACCTTTCAAGCGGCAATGACCAACGAGTTTCGTGCAATGTTGGACCGGTTCATGCTGGTCTACTTAGACGATATTCTCGTCTATAGCCGGTCATTGGAGGATCATCTTGAGCGCCTTCAACGAGTGTTGGAGACGCTCCGCCGCGCCAAGTATAAGGCCAACCACGAGAAGTGCGAATTTGTCCGGCAAGAGCTGGAATACTTGGGTCATTTTGTCACACCGGAGGGCATCAGTTCGCTATTAGACAAGATTCAAGCCATCCACGAGTGGCCGGAGCCACGAAACGTCACGGATGTCCGCTCGTTCCTTGGCCTCGTCGGCTACTACTAGCGTTTTATCAAGGGCTACTCGAAGATCGAGGCCCACTTGACCAAGCTTCAATGCAAGGACCGATCGTTTGACTTCGGAGAGGATGCGCGGGAATCATTTTTGGTTCTCAAAGCCGCACTATTATCTGCGGAGGTCTTGCGCATATACGACCCGCTTTTGCCTACGCGCGTCACTACGGATGCGTCCGGCTATGGCATTGGTGCCGTCCTTGAGCAACACGATGGCGTGGATTGGCACCCGGTCGAGTATTTCAGCAAGAAAGTGCCCGTCGTGCACTCCATTGACGATGCACGCAAGAAGGAACTCCTCGCCTTCGTCCACGCGCTCAAGCGGTGGCGGCACTTCCTCCTTGGTCGAAGCCAATTCCGATGGGTAACGAACAACAATCCGTTGGTCTTTTACAAGACCCAAGACACCGTCAACAGCACCATCGCTCGATGGATGGCTTTCATCGACCAGTTCGACTTCTTTCGCGATCACATTTTGGGGAAGTCTAACCGTTTTGCGGATGCTCTTTCACGGTGTCCGGATCATTGTACCGCGGTCAACCTTCGAGATCGACCACGACCTGCGGGACAGCTTCATCCGCGGCTACTAAGCCGACCCCGAGTTTTGCGACAAGTACGCGAATTGCTCCTCTCCTAATCCGGTGCCTTCTCACTACCGGATCCAAGAGGGGTACTTAGTTGTCCACACGCAGGGGAAGGACCTTTGCGTACCGAGTGATCCTCACTTGCGTACATGGCTTCTTGGCGAGTTCCACGATGCTCTTGCCACCGGACACTTTGGAGTCAATCGCACGATTGGCTGACTTCACGAGCGATTTTGGTGGCGTGGCCTTCTCGGCGACGTCACACGCTATTGTGAGTCATGCGAGGTTTGCCGACGCTGCAAATCTCGCAACCATCGTCCGTACGGCGAGTTACGACCATTACTGGTCACTTTGAGGCGAAGGGAAGCGATTGCCATGGACATTACCGGCCCGTTCCCCAAGCACAAGACCGGAGTAGATGGGATTCTCACGGTGGTCGACCGACTCACCAAGTTCGCCATGTTTTTGCCTTGCCGCTATCATGCCAAGGCACCGGAGTCGGCCGAGGTTCTTTACGGCGTTTACGCCGGTTGGATTCAAACCAAGGGTTACCCCAAGGAAATCGTCTGCGACCGCGACACTCGGTTCATGTCCGATTTTTGGTTGGCGCTCATCAAACGATGGGGCTCATCGCTCAAGCCAAGTTCGGCTCGCCACCCGCAAAACGATGGCCAAACGGAGAGGGCGCATCAGACCGCACAGGTTCTCCTTCACACTCTCATTTGTCCCGACCAAAAGGATTGGGTCGAGCAGCTGCCAGATGTCGAGTTGGCCTACAACTTGTCCATCCACCCGACTATCGGGATGTCGCCCTTCGAGTGCGAGCACGGCTCGCCGGTCACTTCGCCGTTGGACACCATCATTCCACGAACGGCCGAGAGCGACGACCATCTTCTTTTCTTGCGTCGGATGCAAGAGCTACTTGTCAAGGCACGCGACCAGATGGCCAAGACGCAGCAACGCATGAGCCAATAGGCCAACCGCCAGCGCCTTCCTTGCCCATTCCGCGCCGGCGGTCTCGTCTGGGTTTCCACCGCAAAATTTAGCCTTGAACAAGACATCTCTTGCAAGCTCCTCCTGAAATGGATGGGGCCCTGGCTGATCGTGGCACCCGCTGGGGATGCCCCCGAGGGACCTTCCTTCACTATTCAGGTGCCCGCCCACTTGCCCGTCTACCCAGTCTTTCATTGCTCCAAGTTGACTCTTTACACGCCAGCAGATCATGACGATTTTCTCGGGCGACATTCGCAATACCCACCCTCTATGGACGGTTTTCAGGAGGTCGACGATGTCATCTCCCAGCGACGCTACGACAACAGGCCAACTAAGTACTTGGTACATTTTGCGTACTGCACACATCGAGTTGACCGTTGGTTGACCCGTGCGGAACTTCAAGCAACAGCTCCAGACGTTCTCGCACGCTATGAACACAAGATGCAGAGCAAGCCGGTCTCTTCGGCTCCATCCCACGCCCGCGTCGAGGTTCCACCTTCAGATCGTCAACTTCGCCCTCGCCCCGGCTTGACTTCATAAGGAGGAGGGGGTGTTACATGTTGCGCCTGCACACGAGGGCCATTTTCCAAGCCCTGCGTGGCTAAAAGCCTGAATTTCAGGCCGAAAGCTTGAAATTTAGGGCCTACAGGCCCAGTGTCTATTTAGCTCGAAAAGCTGGAAATAGGGGCCTACAGGCCCTGTGTCGTTTCAGACTATTAATGACATCATGCCTTTTTAGCCTGAAAATGAGGGCCTTTTTCGGGCCGTCGTCAGACCGACCTGGCGCGAAACTCAGGCACCAAACCAGGGTTTTAGGAACAAGCTATTTTTGGCCTTTTCCCACGACAGCTGTAGCACCAGCCCCTGGCTCAGTTCGGCATTGGCAAGAGTAGCCTCGTGGACTGCCCGCCGTGCAACTGCAGGCAGTCGGAGGCAGTCAGGAGGCAGGCCGAGATAGTACATAGGGACTTCCCATGCACTTCACGGGCAGGCAAGAGGTAGTCAGTAGTCTTCAGGATACGGCAACAACACTCTGGAGGAGCGCTGCAGGGGTAGTGGTAGCGTTAGCAATAGTCTTCAACGCTGGGCGCTAGTAGCGTTAGGTGTAGTCTTCAGGGCTGGGCGCCATAGCTAGAGTAGTACTAGAGAGAGAGAGAGAGATTGGGCGGAGGCCAGGGTTACTTACCTGCGGCGCAATTGCTCCAGCTTCGTCTTCGAGGTACCTGCAGCACAGCGCCAACTTCACAGGTTAGTACCTGACTCATGAGAGAGAGAGAGTTCTTCTTCTTCCTCTTCTCAGTCCATC